AATACTTTATCTAAATACCCTTGAGATGTAAAAGCTAGGAAGGGAAGAGAATAATATGATCAAGTAGGTGTACTTTGGCCATGAGTTAGTTCAGGTTGCTGATAAAAATGAAGATTTCCAGCTATTAGGACAGCAAGTTGGTGGAGCAGCCTTCCAGGGAAAGCCCTGGCAGCAGGATCCTACTTATCTGCAACATCCACTTTGATGGAAGGGGCTGTGTGACAGGACAGAAGTGATCCAGGAGTTAGAAATTCAAGATTCAGAGCCAGAAGACTTACCCGATTTTGTGGTATACCTGAGAGACATTTGAGAAGAAGCCTGTCAGCATTTTGCAGGCTTCTCCATATTAATTTACTTAACTAAAGTGTTTCTTCAGGAGTTGTGCTGGTTTTCTTTCCCCTCTCGCTGTATGATCTGGCCAGCTTTGGTTCCCCCACTGCTCTGAGACACTCAGGACAGGGCCAGATATGCTCTGAGGGGCATCACCAAACAGGCTGGTGCATCTGTCTCACACACTCATAGCACTACGCAGTTTGCCAAGTCAAAAGGTAATTCTCACCGAGACAGACTGATGGGGATTGCTGTCACCTCCTGTTATGTGTTGGATGTTACTGACTTCCTAAGGTATCTCAGCAATTTTTGACAAACATTATTTCTCTTCAGGGGCTTAGGACACTGTTGATAACCTTGACATCTCCTCCTCTTTTCCTCTGGCAGACTGGAATTTTTACCAGGTTTGGTGAATTATATAGAAGGCGGTAAAGTGTTAATGAGTATTGAGGTTTTCCATGTGGCTTGAGTCTGTCTGAGGTTCTTGTAGCTCCTCCTACCCTTAACATCTACTGTGTGGCTTCCTGAAAGAGTGGAAGGCTTGGACTCAGTAACCTACATTGCTTCTTCCAATTCTGCTCACTATGCTCTCTTTAAATAGCAAAACATGGTACAAAATATGCACAAGATTTTAAAGAGAAACCAGGTCACTGGACTTTATACTGAAACACATCCTCGTTGGTTCTTCTGCCCCATCTGAGCCAGAAGTGGAAGAAACTGATTTGTAACTTACGATCCTTTCTGTCCCTTTGGAGTGAGTTGGGCCTAAAGGAAGATGGAAACCTCACTCATAGCCCCAATCTTTTGACAGATCCTTGCATAGTCTGTAGAAGTGGAGGAAAGGAGTCCTTATTTTTTCCACTGTTCCTTGCAATGTTGCATAAAGGCAAAGTTACACAACCAAGTTCCATAAATCTAAACCAGAAACAGAGTCTCTATCCTACACTGGACAAACATAAAAATGTGGAAGGGTGAAATTCTGGTCCTAATGAAGTTAATGGCAAAGCTTTTGCTTACTCTCTGAGATCACAGTTTCATCTAAAATCTTGGCTCAAGCCCATAGCTGGCTGACCATGCTAGATATTTAAAGCATATCCCTGTTAAGTTTTTCCAAGTACTGGGATAAGACAACCTTTCTTTAAAAAAAAAAAATAAAAATTAAAAAATTAAAAAAAAAATCTTTTTGCTGATGATTGAGAAATGCAGAAAAGTATTTTAAGACCAAGTACTGAGCAACCACTTGCAAACCTGAACTGGAAGCCTAAAAAGGGCCTGATATACTATCTCTGAGTGCAAGAACAAATACTAGCAAAGTAGTAGTTCCCATGCTTCAGTGTCAATACTTTACGTCACTGTAAGCTGCTGCAGTCACACTACTTGGTATCAGAGGGAAAAATGGGAAACCCTGACCTGTGGGGGTTGGGAGTCCAAACAACAAAAAACAGACATCAACAAAACAAATAAAAGCCTCTAATGGACCTGAGATCCAAGCTCTACAAGTAAGTAACTCTGCGAAATGATCAACTGTGCTACAAGGGCTGCAGTGCAGCAGAGTGTCTCTGGAGCTGTCTGGCACACAGACCACACTAATTACTTGGCAGTTGTTTTAGTTTGGCCTGGGGTGGACAGCAGTGCTGGGTAAGAAAAGCCACTGCAGTTTCTTCATATCCCCAGGCTCATCTGGTCTGACTATTGGAAACTACTGATGTTACACTGAATGCTAGCATGTACACCAGCGCTGCCCCCACCCACAAGATTCCTGCCTGATGAAAAAGAAAGGAAATAAATGGATGAGAAAATAAAAAGCTTGTGCAATCAGGGCCACACATCACATATATTTCCAGCCCAAGGGTTATTTGTCTCCCCCTTTGCCCTGAAGCATCTCTTAACAACTGAACTGATTCAATGCAGAATGTCATTAACAATCTAACAGTGAACAAGGACTGGGGATCATCCTTATCTTACAGAAGCAAGCTATAAATAATCATCTTGGGCAAATCTAACATGCTGACAGGGTGGTAGGATCCAAAAAAACTTATTCCAGTGTATTAATAAACATAAATGCTGAACCATTTCTTGCAAAGATTTTTGGAACTGTGTAAATCCTTCCAACAAGCATCAGATAAAACTGTCAAGGTTGGGGAAGAATTGCTTTTATGTATGTGATTAAGCCTTAGCAGTTAAAAAGACTTAGCCTGCTATAAACAATTAGGTATGGTAGGTCAGTGCCATCCCACTGTCATCACTGACAGTTTCATTACTTAGGCCTGCCATGGATATAATTCTCCAGGCAACCATCTGGAAAGTCATCATAGCCTTGACTGTTTCATGACCAGCTTCTGACCAGCCCACATATGGCCCAAGCAAGGCAGGTCAAAACCTCACAGGCTCTGAACTGTAACTTCCAACTTTTATCACTGTGAAATATGGTGGCATGGTGGGCTGTGGCTCTGTCCCCCCTCTGCACCAGCTAGAAGCCAGCTGGAACATGAGGGACCAGAGAAATGGTCTTCCCAGTGTTTTCCTCACTGTGCAGAACAAGCGGCTACCTGACTTTCATACCTGTCCATCATACTGCAATCTTATACGGTCAATTTGGATGGAGCCATGCTACTTTGCATCTTCATTTGCCCACTCTGACACTTGTCTACCTCTTTCTCCCTTCATTCATACTTGTATCTTTTACTAACAACTCTCTACACTTATCTTTCCTGCCTTATTCGTTCCCTCTCTCACATCTATGATGGAAACCTCTTCACACTACTGCCTCTTTCTTGTCCTTTGTTACACCTTGGACCCTCCCTTGATATCAAAAACAGTGACGAAGAGGGAGAGAAGAAGGAAGGAAGAGAGTGGTTCTGTATAAGAGGCAGTGAGAAATGCAATGTCCCCTTGAATGAAGTCCTTTGAGAGGTACACAAGGACTGACTATCCAGGTTACCTAGAATTTCCTTTGGTGAACCCCTGCTTCTTCCTGGTCATGGATCTTACTCTGAATTTGTGCTTCATTGGGTAGAAGCTTTGCTGCAGTGCTCACATATAAGACTCAAGGATTAAACTATCACATGCGTGTGCCAGGCCTCAGTTGTCCTCAAGAAACCCATAGCTTAGCTTCCATCCCTTTTTGCAGGTAGTTTTTCTAAAGCAGGGAGTTATTAATTTTTTCCAAAAATAAGCACAGCATTTATTGTTCAAAAATGCTGCCTCTGACTGTCAAGGCCTTTGCAAACACTTACTGGTAAGCATGGACATTCATTCTTAAGTGTAATGACAAACATGGTAAACAAATCCAGTCTCACTCAAGTATACAACACAGACACATCTCCAGTCCCAACAAGTATTGCTCATACTTCAGATGCAAAATCAAGAAACCCTGGCCTTTGGTGCTCACTAGTGTCTTCACGAACACAAATAAAGGCAGTGATTACCATTCTGTATATTTTTCCAAGTTCTGAAGTGCAGTCCTGCTTGTTTTACATTGACCAAATAGCTTGAAGTGCCAAGTTTCCAAAATAACAAAACATAAGAAGAATCTTGCTCATAAGTTTACTAAATACTAGGTTTGCCTTTTGAAAGAAAAGACAAAGAACAGAGGACACTGTTACTTCTCAGCTGTTATGTGAAACAACACTCAACAATAATTCTTGCGTGTAGCTTCCTCTGTACTGTCCAGCCCCAGCCAGACGTGAAGACACTCTCTTTTTAGGCATCCCACAAACACTGATGCTGAGGTGACGCTCTCCTTTACGGACATAGCAGCCCAAACTGGGTGGCTAAGGAAGAGATCTTAATTTTATCTGTAAGGAATTCACTGTCAACAAGTCATGTGAGAGGCATATACAGAAAATGTGCTTAAAGATGCTGAGTAGCTTATCTTACAGGATAAACTCTAGGATTTATAAACTAACAGCTTGGCCACAGATTGCCTTCCCCAAGCCATAAAAACCTGATAGCTTCCGTTCCAAACATGAAACTACAAACATGGTAGCAAACAGCAACTGCTGTCAACTACATGACTTGCCAGATAGTACAAAGACAATATCAACAACAGTACCCACCACAAAACAACTCTTCAACCATAAGTAGTAAGTCTGAAGAACTGGTTTAAGGCAGGGAAAACTTACTGACAGCCTTTCAGGTGCTGAAAAGCTATCAGTACAACAATTTCTCACCTAGTGTCTTCCTGAGTAAAACAACTGGCCCAGTGCTGCTGTCCAGTACTTATACCTCTTCTAGTGAACTGAAACATTATACAATACCCGTGCCTGGCAGTCACAACTTCCATTTGTTTTAGCAATATATAAGAACATATTTTAATAACTTCAAAGTGTTGGGCCAAATTTGATTACCCACTCTTCCTTTTTATCTGCTGCTGCTTGTTCTTCACTAAAGCCAAGCAAACATGCAAGCCTTCTGCCCAGAGAAAGAGACCTTTGTGGGATTTATTATTAGAATATAAAGCAAACATATATAAACAATGCCAATCTTACTCTGATTAACTCTCTCCAAATTAATCGAGACTTTGTAACTCAAAACCAGGTTCTCCATATGCCAGCCTCTAAACTACCTGACAGACAGATGGTGGATCATAAAAGGAGAATCAGTCACATCAATGTGGTAACATGATTGAACAAGACCTAGATTGTAACCAATTACAGCAGTTCACTTACCCTATAGTAGTCTGTGCTGTACACATCTCTAGACATTCCAAAATCCCCAATCTTCACCAGTAGGTTCTCACCAACCAGGCAATTCCGGGTAGCAAGATCCCGATGCACAAAGTGCTGTGACGCAAGGTAAACCATACCAGCTGCAATCTGCTGGGCAATGTGAAGCATCTGGGATTGGGTCAGCTCAGCAGGACGGTTGCCTTCTGCCATCAGTACTGCATCTGGTCCATGTGCCCTGCACCAAAGTACAAGCTAATTAAGTGATAGGCCACTTGTAAGCTGGAGAGGTGAAAGGCATTAGTGAGCCTAAAAGCACACAACTGACTCACTCAAATATAATAACAAAAAGGGCTACAAATGCATTGGTGAAATATGGGAAAAATTGTATCTTGGCTTTTTTCATTTACTGTTTTCTTTCATTGTGTGAAAGACAGTAGTGTGAAGAGCATTACACAACAGGGGATACATTACTCAAGGAAACAAGGTGCATGCATTCATAACAATACCCCTCTGTCCAAAACCACCGCTTTTCTCCTGTTCTGTTCCAGTAATCTTTTCTGGAGAAGGGCTGGCAAATGCAGTTGTCTGGTAACTGATGAAATCCTTATCACTCTATAAGTGAAGGCAATAGAATGGCATGCATAACATCACTTTTCCTATGACCAGCTTCCTACAGGGAGAAAGGCCATTGATCCTTCCATCTTTTCTCAAAGAAGAAAGAACTAACTTCCTTCTGAGATGCCATCTGAGAAACAAGGGCAGCAATTTCAGATTCACAGTTCTAATTTCCTATCCAAATACACAGCAGGAAACTATTCTTATTTCATCACCAAAGGTGAGCCCTGCCTGATATGGGAATTCTTGAAAATCGTAAGAGGACACAAAATACACGCTATTTGCAACAACTACACAGCTTCAGAAATACGAGCTTTTCAAGACCTAGCAAGTCGCTGAGGTGCAATAATCAGCTGATTAATGATAAACTTGTATACACTCCTGCAGGAGAGCCATTTTGCATTTGGAAAGCTCGGCAAAGTACTGGAACACAAATGCTTCATCCTTCTTAACTATGTTAGCTCTGGAATGCATGTGCAATATCCTAGTGTCTTGAAGATACACATATGAACATTCCTACACACTACATTTTATAGTAAACGTTACCAGCTAATCCTTATTCAATTAATGAGGTCATCTGAGAACCATTCCTCATTTGATATACTTCATAATATTCTGAATATCCCTTTCCATCCTTTCCATTATTCTGGGTTTTCAGAAGCCTTTTTTATTCCATTACTGCAGACAATTCTTTCTAAGGGACCACCTCTCCTCTTCCCTCCTCAACTTTTTTTTTTTTTAATAAGAGTTGTAAATTAGTCAAAATCTGTGAGATCAGTTCTGACACTGCCTATTAGAAATATGATATTAAAATTGCCCCCAAAAAGAATTTCATGAACAAAGTGACAGATGTGAGAAAAAAGCAAAGAAGAGTGTGTAGCATTGCTGGTACTGCATTTGGTACTGGGCAAAGAAGCTCTCTGTCACTGGGTACATACAGGTAGCTATTCAACTGATCTGGGTTGGGTGGAATAAACAGGAGGATATGAAATCTCCCACCACGACTCACAGGCAAATTCCTATTGAAAAGCACTGTACCTTTTCATTGCATGTATTTTTTTAATAACTGCTCTCAGACATGAAGCTCTGAGTTGCTAAATTAGAGGACTCTTCATCTTTTGCTAGCTGCCTTGAGGACATGGTCTGTATCAAATGAAACTTTTGGATTATTCTTAACACTCCATCCACTTTGCTTGCCCTCTTGGTGCTGTCTGTAAAGGAGGAGCTCCTCAGTGTCTGCAACAGCCAGGAACATTGACAGACACTTCTTTGGATCCACATCAGCCACCACCAGCCAGAACAAGCACAGGCCAGGTATGACTTTGAGGCTTTAGTCCTAGATCTGAATCAGCCTTGGCTGCATGCAGACAGCAAGGCTTGTTTGGGTTAAATTTTGGATTCTTTTTTCCCAACAGCCTTTGGCGGCGCTGCAGGGTAAGAAATACGGGCTCTTGCAGCCTGCTCACCACTAACCTCTGATCTGCAGCACAAGCCGCAGCTAATGTGAGAGGAATGACAAATTAGAGCTTAGGTTTAGCAGCTTGTCCCAGCATAATCATTTTCTGTTCTAAAGACAAGGGCTGATTAATAATTAAAAAAAAAGGGAAGACCTGAAGTAGGAAATATACTGCCTGCTAAACTACCTTTCTGTACAATAGTTCAAAATCAGAGTTAAGAGGCAGGAAAAGGACGATTAAAAAGAATTGAAGTATTTCTATGAAATGAGAAATAATTTCTTATCAGCTGTGAATCTGTCTTCTTCTAGTAGAAATTCAATGTTCTGAAAAAGTACTGGGGTGGCATCTTAGGAAGCTGCGGTTCTCTCCTCATTCACAGCAGAGGTCCAAGCAGCCAAATGTAAATGCCCCACTGTGGCTCTGACAACATATTAAATCCTCTGCCAGGGAGACAGTCTGGGAAAAGTAGTAGTGTTTGCTCTGCATGCCCAGTTCAGGCCCTGGTGTCCCTGCCAAACCTGGCAGCCCTGCCAATAAGGGAGGATGCTAATTGATGTCATTTGCTTTTATGGTGTGGCTATTTCTTCAGTGGCGATTAGAAAGACAGCAAACTCATTTCACACAGGCTACCAAAAATGGTGACACCAGCAGTCACTAGCCATTTCAGTCCGATAGAAAGTCTGAACCCATTTAAAAGGACTTCAGTTTTGATTGTTTTACAGATGTGTCACAGATACATTTCCAAAATTATGGTACGCCTAGCTATCTTTGGCAGCAGAGATGCCTGTACATTGAAATGCCTTCATAATATCCATTGATAAAAAACACAAAGACCTTGAAAGAACAGTCCCTTATGCAAATGTATTTTTTTACATAGAAGCAAAAGCTGTCTCTTAACTGCTTATTTTTATGTCAATAAGTGCAGGCTAGTGGAAATGGCACATACACAAGGCCACTGTTCATAAATTCTTGGTTCATGAGTTACTTGTTATTGTGAACCTTAGGTATCATCTATTTATTTATGACTGCTCTACTGCCAAATTTCAATTTCTGATGCACATTCCTAAACAGCTTTATGAAATAAAACCCTAATCCACACCCCAAGATGTATCATTTTCCAGTGCACTGACGTTTCCATGGCTCACAGTTTTCTTGCTTTGTATTAATGGCAGTCTTTCCAAAACACTGAGAAGAGCGAAGATAAAAGGGGTTAAAATTCAGAAGTTCTCACACGCCTACAGATAGCTATACATGTTGAGTGGGAACTTCCCAAGTGCTACCAGAAAGCCCGCAAGAAAATGATTCCTACTGTAATACTTATAACCAAACTTTTCAGAATACACTGAAATATATCAAAACCAATATTTATTTGGTTCCCATTCCTTTGATGCAAAGCACAAGGCTTGACATAATGGTACATCCAAGTAGGCAAAGAAACAATGAGCCTCACATCCCAGTACAGAAGACGAGAGTTACACAGATTTGCACTCCTAGGTGTTGGCATTTTCCAGTGGTAGTAGTTAATTTGACATTAAGTACACATAACACCTACCTTCTCTGCCCACTTCTGTCTCTCCAGCACAGTTTATGTTCATGGATTTACCTGAGGAATTTGTTAAGATCTCCATGCTTCATATACTCAAAGACCATGATGAGTGGATCACCCTCTACACAGACGCCATAGAATTTGACGATGTGCTCATGCTGCAGGTTAGTTAGCAGCTCTGCCTCTCGGTGGAAGTCCTTGCGGGCATTGTCACTAGCATCCTTCAGTGTCTAGTAGAGAAAACAAAAATGTAAGGAAGGGGATATGTCTGCAGAAGGTAGTAAACATGTGGGATGGCACTATAAGGGAAAGGTAAGAACACTCTACTGCATAAAGGATGGAAGAAGTACTTTCTTAATAACGCTTCTAAAAATGCAGATGTGATGTTGAAGTGCAATTAAGGAACAGCAGTACAATTTTCATTCTCCTGCCACACATCATCGCAAACAACTATTTTTCATGTAAGAGGATGAAGGAATACTCATGATCTTACTGTGACAAGTGTTTTCCAAACCCAGAACAAATAAACTGATCTTATAAAAAAAATATACTAATACAAAGCTGGTTCATATCCTTTAGCATTTAACTCAGGAACCTAGTATCCTGTTGGTATTTACCTTTCTCCTAAGTTCTTTAAAATAAAACTCTACTTGCTTAAAATACTTAAGAGTGTAGATGGATTCTTTATGTGTTACTAATGTTGCTGTTGCAGATGTTGGCCCCTATGGTGTGCTATGCATTACGTAGACATACACAAGGGTACATCCCTGGGCCAGAACTTAAAACCTGAGACTTCAGCCAGAAACTCCTTTGAAATTCAGTAAATCTACTGACATACCTAAGGTTAAGCATATGTATAAGTAACTGGAGGATCAATCCTGAATTGATTGACAGAGAGGAAAGAGATGCAGATCAGAATTCTGGGGTGTCAATTTTCTCACCCTCTTTTATTTATACAGCTCTAAACTCTTGCATATTTTCATTTGTAGGAAATATATCAACACTGGATCACATAGGAGGCTTAAATGTTATATAATGAAATAATGCTAATTTAGCTGCCACACATAGGCAGTCCCAATCTCTTCTTAAAGAACTACACTTCCTGAGCAAGGAAACACTTGCATGCACTAAAAAAAAGCAAATTCTGACACTAATTAAATGAGGAATAATTGTAATTGACAATAAACTGCTACTAGGCTTTACCATCAAAAGGTACAGTGGTTGAACTATACTAATTCAAACAGTATTTTTTAAATGGTAAGAGAAAGATAGCAAGTTACCAATGTCCATTATTATTTAATAAACAGAAACATGGAGCATTGGACCAATCATGCTCATCAGAACAGACATAGAACAAGTTGATAATGTGCAATCATTCTGTCAACAAACCCAGTTTATAGCTTCAGTAGTCATGGTTTATTCAAGGCTTTTCTTTATCAGAGACAATTCTGTCTACTTTTCTAGTATTATACGTATGCATGTGTGAAGGGACTAAAAGATGATTGTCAGAGAAAACACTCGCTTTACTTGTGAAACTGCAACCACAGGTCTTGAAAATGAACAGCTACCATAATAAGGTTCAGATGGGGGGCCAAGGATCAGGGCAGACTGGATAGCCATCTACCAAGTTCAGGGGTTATGGATCCTAGACACAATACAAATTACTCAATACACAAATGACCCTGAGGGACCCACTTAGGAATCTCATGTGTCTTCAGGCCCAGAACCCTTCTTCCACAACAAGAATACTGCATCATCAAAGCTTCACAAGCTATGATATATAAGTATACACAGCTATATAATCTAAGGTGGCTATCAAATTGGCTCCCCACTATGGTCCCCACACAATCACATCTGAACCAAGCAAGGGCTGAAATTGAAATGTCTTCAAATACCTCCTGGCTCTGGGATCATGCTTTAATATGATACAGGCACCAACCCTCCATCCAATCTATGCTATATAATGAAAACACTGTGAACAATTCTGTTGTCAATTGAGTTTCCTTTGGTGGTTTCATGTATAAAGCAATTGGACTGTAATTCTTCTCAACAACAGAATTAGAAAAACAATTAATATAAAAAACATTTTAAATAATAAATAATGACCTAGAAAAAAAACTGACAGGGAGAAGGCTGATACACTCTCTAGCAGGATCTTTCCCTGGAAAGACAGTAACAAACCTGACAGCTCTGCCCTGTGAGGATGGCATATTGTATTTTTCAGAAGATGCTTTTTATCTCATAGAAACAGCAAAATTATCATATGACAGAGCAGTTGCCATGGCAATTACACATTTCCTGCCAAACAGCAAAACGCAGAAAGGTCTAAAACCCAGGTGAAACTCAGGTAGGGTTTCTACTACTAAGGGACAACCTGAATTTCTGTCACCCACCATTGCAAAACGTTCTCTTCATTATTTCATGCAGCGCACAGAATAGACACAATGCATGAGAAATAGCTGACAGAGTCAGACAAGGAGGAGATTTTAAAGTGAAAAAATTAATAAGTACATAGAATTTACATAGAAATTACATTGACTAATGCATTTAACTTGTTCCCAGTGCAAGACAAAAAATAAAACCAAAATAAAACTGTAAAAGTACTGAGAAAAATTCATATTAATTATTATCATTACTGACAGGTACACCAAAGCTCTGCATACAAAGCACGCTCATAAGTCGAGTTTTTCCCAGGTAGGAACTGAAATACAACTACAGGTACTTTCCAACCACTCACGCCAGTTGCTAAGGAGGAGAGACATGTTCCCTTAGGCAACAGTGAGATCCCCTGGCTGTTACAGGAGCTCCACATCTGCTGAGTTCATCCTTCATTGAATCATCAATGTCAATCCTTGTGACAGTTGGACCACCACCCCATGCTTATTCTCCTCCACAGAGTCCTTGCACAGGTATCCACGTACCATCTGGTCTCTGCAGACCTGTGCTCTGTAGCAAGTGCAAATGGGCAGCTCTTTATTCCACCCTGGCACCACATAGCTGCATTCATGGGCAAGTCAGAGCAAGAGCAGGGGGATGTGGGTCTCACCAACATCAGTGTGACCTGGCAATGAAACTCTTGCAACAGCTATTCTTTATATTATTTCAGCCTTCCCCTATGAAATCCTTAGTACTTAGTACTGCTCCCCATCACCATAAGAGCTGATTGGTGTATTTCCTCAAGAAATGAAGGGGTTGTTTCAGCCTTCTCTGAACTGAGACCAGAAGAGTCGAAAACCTTTGGTTTTCCTCTGCAGGTGCCATGGAAATGTTCCTCACCTCACACACACAGCATTCTGCTAGCTGAGCACAACCCTGGAGCAGCACAGGGTAAATTCCTCTCCAACCTCCCAGGGGAGACAGAGGCAGCTGCTAACCTGTGCCCTGACAGTCATCCTCACCTCCAGCTCCAGCCAGGTTAAACTTGTACAAGACTGTCCCTGGGGGTCCAACCCTATTGGGAGACAGTACCGGTCCAGGCCTGAACAACCACTGTGGCATGGCAAAATGGTCTGCAAGGAAGCAGTAACTTTTCCTTCCTCCACCGTCTGTTCTTTAAAAGTACCTGCAGCAAATGGTGCACTGATGTAATGTACAAACTTACCTGGAGGGGAAGGGCAGTACAATGCCCATGCAATCAGCTTAACCTGTGGTTAAGTTCTCTGCTCACAGGGTCCAACCCACAGAAAGCTGTGGTGGTTTGACCCACAGGTAAGACCACACGGTCTCGCATTCACTCCCCTCACCTGGTGAGATGGGAAGGGAATCACAACCAAGGGTTCATGGATTAAAAATAAGGACAGGGACGACTCACTCACCAGTTATGGTCATGGGCAAAACAGACTCAACTTGGGGAAGAAAAATAAATTTAATTCATTACCAATCATCCAAGTAGCATAATGAGACATAACAACTACATCTTAAGACACCTTCCCCACCCCTCCCTTCTTCCTGGGCTCAAATCACTTTGCTCCCGATTTCTCTACCTTCTTCCCCCCAGCAGCACAGAGGACAGGGAATGGGGGTTCAGTCAGTTCACCTC